ACACATAGTCAAGTCAAATGAAAAAATAATGAAAGCATGCATTCAAAGTGGGAAGATTAATATTCGGTGAGTTCCCTTGTTCAAGATTACTGCCATTTAATTCTTACAGTCTTCTTCAATGAGTTCACACCTACTAGGATTTGAACAAGTCTTTTTGTGTTATCCACCACAAGCTCTAACAACCGTCCTTATAGAATAAACTACTTACTAACAAGGTTCTCATCTCATTTAAGTCACTGAGTATTTGACTCATATGTCATGTGAGTAACAGACAGAAAACTGTCTATAGTTCTTCACAACTACCTACGTCTTCGAACTGTTCAGTTCGAAGTACTGAGCTAAAGTATAGAAGTAATTAGTCTTCATAAACATAAGGATGATGACTGCGGATTTCTAAAAATCTTGAGTCATGGCAGAATTTGAACCAGTGGTCTGTAGGTTCCAAGCTGTTAACTCCACCAACTGTAGATATTTCGAAGTCAAATGTAAACATGCTCTACAGGATTCCCTTTTACAGGAAAGACTGAAGTATGATAAGTTACATATGCGAAATAGGTTGGTAGCATTGTAGTATGATTTATGTAAAGCGTATGGGACTAGGAATAGTATTGTTATACGAAAGAATTGATAATGTCAAGAAATTAAAAGGAGCAGAGGGACAAAATCATGCTATTTCTTCTGGGGATACGTGTGAGTAATGACACTCAACTCTTGTTCATAATAATTTTGAGATAAAGTTTAAAAAAATCTGTCCCCATTTCCATTTCGTGATTGATGGAGAAAACACACGTCAGCGAGTCATAAATGCAGTGTCTCTAGTCCTAATGTTCAACGGTTCGGATTAGATAAACTTTGGTGTTGATTTACTTTGTCTTGCAACTAAAATGTGTCCACTACAGGATTAGGATAAGCAAACGAAAAACGAAGCACAACACTCGAGGTTAACGTTATGCGTCTAGTTATTCAAACGAACAAAACGTTAAATAGGCTAAAATCTGGATACAATTATTAAAATGTATTTCAATGATCTAGTAACGTATTGTACAGCTTTAGGTACAGAACACGCACAGTGAAACGACCAGTATTATAAAGACTGGAGGCAATTTGAAACTACACTGTAAGATGTTTATTTTAATATTGACAGCTCTGTACAGTTAGTTGTCTGTAACGTTATTTGCAAACCTGTAGACTGAACAAGTAACTCAGGTACAGTACGGATAGAAACCGCATTGTAATGGAGGAATCGGTTTAGATCTATTGATCACTATTTGTAGACGGAAATGAATCATATGTAAATTGATTGGTTTCTGAAAAGCAACCGACTTCATGCAGTCTAGTCCAAAGTGCTGACCGAATCCTATCGATTATTCATTGTGGCTTCCAGGCTAAGAGACTCATCAGCATGATGCACAGAGAGAGAGAGAGAGAGAGAGAGAGAGACGTTATTAAGATGAAGGCCATCTTTAGAAAACCCTGAAACTAGGTTTTGCGCTTTTTGGCACACGTCAGCAAGCTATTTCAGCAACCTCGATGCAACTAATGTTTCACCTGAGGTTTGAAGCCGCGCAACCTAGGTCCAGAGCTTCCTACCGATTGCCTCCATTCAACTAACATGAATCACATATAATTATCTTTAATACGTGTATTTTGTTCGCATCAGTGAACCACCACCTTAGTCAACTCCTTTACTTCGGACATACAACTGTCTGGGTTTGGGGTTTCGTTTGAACATAAGACTAAAAATTATAATTCTCTACATCTAGCTGTGACTCTGAGTTGAATTCTATTTAGTACTAAGTACCGGTATACTTTATCAACAAAAAGAACTAGTAGCATAGAAGTGCTTCATTCTACAAATTCAGCCCCTATTAAGTTCAGTATCATTGATGATATGCTTACACAGTCTTCGATAGATCAAAAGAAACTTCGATGATCTATAGAAACAGACAAAACCAACGTAGAACCTATCACAAGAATGCATCTACTCAACTTGCCACAATTCACAGTAGTGGACAAAGAACATGTGGATAGAAAACGAGTGATATCAAAGTAGATAAAGTAGTGTGAGAGAATAAACAACCTGAACGTAAATGTTAGTGCGAATATTCATGCTTTAGAAGACATCAAAAAGTGAATACATCTGCCTCTCCGTGACCGATTTTCAGTCAGGTCAACAAGAGTTCTCAACCACTGATTTCTTTCGTCCCGAGGACCCCAACCTGGTAGTCCCCATACGATTCAGATCAACAGTAGGAGACTTCATCAACTGATGAGAAGTCTTGATCTGGCTACCCTGAACCCTTTCCCACCTAATCCTGCTTCCCTTTGCAAGACACGTCGAGGTATACAGTGACTTCATAGGAGTAAGGAGGTTTCTGAATGTTTGACTAAAAATCACCCAGTTTATGAATTACTATGGTACTTAACCTGGAGCTTCATTCATAGTTAAAATAACACGCTTAAATATAGCAGCTGTTTAATGAATTGAAATCAACAAGGCTCTCACGCATTGTACTCCAACAACCTCATGTCTTGATAAAATTCTCATGCCAAAATTTACGATTCATTTGTTTCACAGTTCAGGTTAATTAGTGGAAATGAAATCATACACAGAGAGAATCCAAAACGTGAATAAATTCCTTTTACAGCGGCGATAATAATTACTATGTTGTTTTGAAATAAGCAATGCATTACTGAACACAATATCGAGAAGATAGACCCTTCAATTGCGACATTTGGTGCAATGACTCGTGACTCTAAAGGTCACCCAAGCAACTACTGAAATAATAACCGACTAGGAGTATTTACTGAGACTGAAAAGTTTTCTTTGTAAATCAAAGAAACATAAGTCCCTGTATCTTTATGCAAAAACAATGTGAGCAACAAGCAATTAATCATGAGTGTCCTTACAGTGACTCTCTTTTGTTCTCATCCGTTGAGATCCTGATTAGGCCACCTACGTTTTGAAGACATCGTACATTTTCCACACATTTTGCAAAATATAAAATACTATATGCATTGTATGGGGTGGCAATTTACTTTCGTCTCCTCTATGATTCAGTTGGTGTGAAGTTAATGACAGTAGGATTGACAAGTAAATAACAACCCAGAGCAATAACGACATCTCCTTCAGTCCGTTAACCAAAGGATTAAATAGAAAAACTCAAATCAAGGGTACGAATTCCAACAACGGTAAGATCAGTGACATAATATAATCGGTTACTTCAGTCGTTGCTGAGATAACGTTTACTGCCATTCTTCCGAATCCCTTTGCAATTAAATTACCAACATCCCAAAATATAAGAAATCAGTAACTCACTTTTACAAAAACAAGTTTCTAACCAGGAAGTCATTTTTAGAATGCGATTCTACGTCAAGAAGCAGTGCACTTCTATGACTTGGGTTAAGATTACTATAAGGCGGAAAGCCACACACGTGAGAAGTAAATAGCAGGACATTAGAAAATTTATTTCAATTCAGTGATTGTCATAACTTCTCACATCTCATTTTTCAGATGATCACTATATGAACAGAAACGTTTGTCAGAATACGACAGACAAGCTTCAAGAGTAAATAAGGACGCATATATTACATCTACAACCTTCAAAAAGTTCTGGGAAACTTACTTGGCCTACTTATTCACCTAAAGGTGGCATACATCTCTCTAGGACAACAAGCATTTTGGCAGTTTTGACTGTTAAAGCACTAACGGAGCTAATACACACTGATAATCAAAACCACCTACTCAAACTCACACCCAAGTAAGGCCTCATAGACAGATGTCATCTACATTGACAACAAGTCCTGCTCACCACAGATCCCTCTGATACCCTTCCCCTTTAACTACATTATATTATAGATACATCAACCTACGTAATACTATGCACATCTGACTTAACAGTCATTGAGCTACTCTCAGGAAGGCACCTACCTGATACGTAGACTTACAGTACACAGACAACATTGTCCCAATACACGAATACGCTCATTAAATCCAGACTACTCTCAACGCTTTCAGCAGAAATCAAAGTATGTTTGCCAAGCATTTTGCACTTGTACATCGCGTGTGATCATACTCCAAGTCTCCTCTACATCAACTACCACTTTAAGGAAAGGATAGGGAGTGAGGTGGTAGAACACCTTGACGTTGGCTTACGTCATCTCCTGCATCAACGAGATATTCAATTACGTGCTAAAAAAATGACTATACTGAGCTGCAGTCAACTCTGTGCTGTTATACACCAGTGAGACATGACCTCTGGAAGTAGTAGACACGAAGAGATTATAGGTTTTCAAATACCAGCCTCTTCGAAGCATTCTTCATGTATGGTGGGATCACCATGTGAGCAATGTCCAGGTTAATTAGATGGTCCTTGGAAAGTCAAGCCGGTTCGTCGGTGACCTTGTGAACCTTGACCAGTTGAAGTGACTTGGATATGGGTCACGTACATCTACATCCAATGTTAGCCAAATTTAGACTGGATTGGTAGGAGATTAATGGTGCTCAGTCAGAACCTGGCATAAACTATGAAGTGTTTGACTGTTGGTCCGAATAATGTGTAGAGAGGTGCAGACTACCTGGCTTTGGCCTCGAGGCGCAAAAAATCAGTGGCGGCTGATCATTGGTGAAATGGCTGAAAATTGGTGACAATGGCACAATTATTTCCACTTTTTGACTCCTTTCCGAGCTTGATTTTCGAATCACTTTTCCTTGAATGAACCTTTGTCAACTTTGGTATTACTCTTTTCCCAACGACCTGTTCAGTGCATGGTGCTATGAAGTGTGATAGCATGAAGCGATGCACTTCCGTGCGAGGTTCCCACGCTGATTTTATTTGTCTGTGTTATCTAAACTGTGTTACTGCTTTTCTTAACATTATACAGAAAATTTCATGGAGACGAATGCACTTAAGATCATATATTATGAAGGTGAAAAGGAAATAAAACCAAGAAGAAGGTTGAATTTTCTGTCTAATTATCTGTTTACAGTGACAGCATACCTGTTTGACACACGTTTGACTGTGTTCTAGGCAACGACACTTTGGAATTCATTCGTTCTATATAAGCACGTAATCCAATATCTCCTGAACGAATACGTGCCACTTCTTGTATTCGGATAGCACCATCAATAGCTTGACTAGAACACAGGTTAAGCATAACTGATGGGACAGCATATTCTTGAACCATTGAGAAACCCAGAAGCGTTCTCTATAGAAAAAAAATCGACAAAATGGGTTCATTAGAATCATTCTTAAGATACCTCGCCTGGTTAACTAGTTTACTAGTTACTAGCCGGTCCTAAGCCCGGGTAAAGAGGGAAGGTTGGGCATAGGGCTAGCAACCCTACCCCGTAAAACAAATCTAACCGCTAAAGAAACTTCAAAGCACAAACAAAATATAAAAAATGAAAACAAACTTATTCCCCGCTGGAATCGGAGAGGCGAAATGACGCCAGTTGGTGAAAGCCTTCGGGAAGCCAATTGGCCGATGTGTCTTCTCTCGATGAAAGCGAAAGTAAACGTGGGGACATGGAATGTCCGCACGATGTTTGAACCCAGTAAGGCAGCCCAGATTGCAAGGGAGATGAGAAGGTATAACATCGAAGTGCTTGGGATTTGCGAAAGCAGATGGAATGGGAGTGGACTCTCCAAACTGTCAACTGGAGAATCAATAATCTACTCCGGTCACCCAGACGCCAACCACGAGCACACTGAGGGAGTGGCTATCATGATGTCCTCAAGAGCATCGAAGGCTCTCATGCAGTGGGAACCAATCTCCTCCAGGATCATGACAGCAAGATTCAACTCAAAAGGAAGAAAGGTCACAATCATACAATGTTATGCACCTACAAATAATGCAGAGCAAGAGAAAAAGGAGGATTTCTACAGACAACTTCAATCAACACTGGACAAGACGTCAGTTGGCGATATCAAAATTCTGATGGGCGACATGAATGCCAAACTGGGAGGGGACAACACGGGAAGAGAACTAACCATGGGTCGAGAGGCGCTAGGTGAAATGAATGAGAATGGAGAATTGTTTGCAGAATTCTGCGCATTCAACGATTTGGTGATTGGAGGCAGTGTGTTCAGGCACAAAGATATCCACAAAGCGACATGGATTTCACCAGATGGACACACTAAAAATCAAATCGACTTTATCTCAATCTCAAGAAAATGGAGACGCAGTCTACTTAACACAAGGTCAAGAAGAGGAGCAGATGTAGGTTCAGACCACTCATCTAGTGCAAGGAACCTTCCAAATCAAGTTAAAAGCCTTCAAGGAAGCTGGTGATAGACCTCAACTCAAGTACAACACTCGGAAACTGAAGGATGAAACTACAAAGGAGATCTTCAAGGCAGCCATCAAGACAAAATGGGAGACATCGAGCAACATCCCTGAAGAAACCTGTGTGGAAGAACACTGGAAGTCTTTGAAAGCTATGTGGAAAGAAACCTGCACAACAGTATTAGGAAGGAAGAAGAAAGAAGACAAGGAATGGATCTCGACGGATACCTGGAAGCTGATAGAGGAGAGGAGGATGGTGAAGCAGAAGATAAACCAGTGCAAGGATGCTCAACGACAAGAGGAACTGAGCACAATGTATAAAACACTGGACAAAGAAGTGAAGAAGAGTGCACGCAAAGACAAAAGACACTTCTACGAAACACTGGCAAGTGAAGCAGAACAGGCTGCAGGTAAGAGAGACCTGACGACATTGTATCAAATAACCAGGTTGCTATCAGGGAAGAGACCAACACAGATGAAACCAATAAAAGATGAAGAAGGAAATTTAATTACAAAAGAAGAGAAACAGAGGAAACGATGGGCCGACCACTTCAAGAAGCTCTTGAATCGACCACCACCTGCACTTCGTCCAGAAATACCACCTGCAGCCGCTGAACTACAAGTGAACATTAATCCCCCAACGAAAATGGAAGTCCTGAACGCCATAAAGCTACTGAAATGCGGGAAAGCAGCAGGACCAGATGGAATACCGCCAGAAGCACTGAGAACAGATGCAGAGACAACAGCGGACATGCTCACACCACTATTGCAGAAGGTGTGGAAGGAAGAGAAGGTACCTGACGATTGGAAGAAGGGTTACCTTGTCAAACTGCCGAAGAAGGGAGACCTCAGTGCTTGCAAGAACTGGCGCGGAATCACTCTCCTGTCCACCCCAAGTAAAATATTAAGCCGCATCATCCTGGAGAGGCTTAAAGACGCACTGGATTCAAAACTGCGACCGGAACAGGCAGGCTTCAGGAAGTACAAATCATGTGCAGACCAAATTGCAACGCTCGCTTCGCATCATCATAGAACAGAGCATAGAATGGCAATCAACTCTCTACCTCAACTTCATCGACTTTGAGAAGGCCTTTGACAGCGTCGACCGAGAAGTAATTTGGAAACTGCTTCAATACTACGGAGTACCGCAAACCTTTATCCGCCTCATTCAACAACTATATGAAGATGCCACATGCCAAGTAATCCACAATGGGAAGCTCAGTGATGCCTTTGAAGTGAAGACAGGAGTGAAACAAGGTTGCCTACTATCCCCCATGATATTCCTTATTGTGGTGGACTGGATCATGCAGCAAACAGTAGGCAGCGAGAAGAGGGGGATACACTGGACGACGGAAAAGAACCTAGAAGACTTGGATTTCGCCGATGACTTATGCCTAATGTCACATAAACTTGAAGATCTGCAGGCAAAAACTAACAAGTTGATAGAAGAGGCAGCGAAGACGGGACTTCAGGTGAATATAGAGAAGACAGAAGTGATGAAGATACCGCACCACCACCATCAACAACAACAACAAACTCCAATCACCGTCAACGGGAGAAACTTGAAGGAAGTAACCTCCTTCACTTATCTAGGAAGCACTGTTTCAACTACAGGCGGGACGGACGAGGACGTCAAAGTCAGAATCGGAAAAGCAAGACAGGCGTTCATTAGCCTGAAACCAGTGTGGAGATCTTCTGCACTCAGCATGCGGAACAAGATACGGATTTTCAACACCAACGTCAAGTCAGTGCTCTTGTATGGCTCAGAGACTTGGCGCGTCACGAAAGGTATTTCCAATAAACTACAGACATTCATCAACAACTGCTTACGCTCGCTGCTGAAGATCAGATGGCCAGAAAAAATAAGCAACAAGGAACTCTGGGAACGAACCAACCAAGAACCTATCACGCAACAAATATGCAGGAAGAAGTGGAGATGGATTGGCCATGCACTGAGAAGGCCGACTGAGGACATCACGCGTCAGGCCCTCGAGTGGAATCCCCATGGGAAGCGACGAGTTGGACGTCCGAGGGTGACATGGAGGAGGTCGTGCGAGGAGGAAATGAGAGGTTGTGGGCTGTCGTGGAACCAGGTTCAAAAGATCTCAGAGAACAGAGGTCACTGGAGGCGTGCTACTGAAGCCCTATGTTCCACTAGGAACCCAAGAGACTAATAATAATAATAATAATCTTATGACCACTAATATATATTAGTTTCTGCGGAACCAAGTCTCCAATCAATGAACTTGAAATCAAAATGCATTCAGTAAGCATATCCATGTGCATTCAGTAGACCTATATATTTCTAGATGATTGATGATACTAACTGCCAGCCCAGATTTCAGTAGTTGGAGTTGGGTTCGAACCTGCGACCCATTTATTTATAGTCGAGTGACTAGATCAGTAAAACAGTTTCATCTGAAAAAGTCCACAATAATGAATCTGTATACAAAGAAGTTAACTATTAAGAAAAACATTAAATATTTTTTGAAGGAACATAAGCAACAAAACACAGTTATAGTTGACTGTCAAAAGAGTGCAAGTTAATCAGATACTTTACCAGCTGTTAATTTACGGTATCTATCAATATGCTATAATTAAAGCCGTTTCCATTATCATAGATTTATCAATACGCTGGCGTTCTGATAAAGTTTTAGTTCAACATGACATGGTTATTTCTGATTACGTTGAATGACAACAGTTCTTTGAATAAATATGATCTCTTGGAATACTGTTTTGGTTAGAATTTTCTTAAGGGATTATTCTAACTAATAAACAATATTTTGGCGTTAGATATCAGGAGTCAATCGCTAGGAAGCTCATATTTTATTGGTTCAAAAGGTGAAGTCAAGCCTTTGCTTTGAAAATCATTCGCGATAATAGTAATAAGAATAATAAACGACTAATGAGGAACAGTCGTATTAAGACACACAACGTTTTGCTGCTTATATGCAACTTTTCATTAATTTTATACCTGAACAATAGATGAAAACACATCCGACGTCATTAAATCATATAATCACTTAGACTCCATCCACTAAGTTACGTCAAAATTAAAATTTCGAGAAAAATATATATAATTCGCATTGATAACATGTAGTGGTAAATTTTAACATTTGGTTAACAAGACCATCCAGTTCACAGTAAGTAACCAATAAGTAATGATCATTTTGATACTGAAAACAAAATATTTATGTCTTGTTCCACATAACACTGAAAACAGCACTAAAATATGACAGTTAAGATTTCTTTATTCTTACCTTCTTGCCCCTTGAACAAGAGAAGACCGCAGCACGATGGATCTTTTTATGTCTGTTGTCTATGAACGCTTTAAGAGTATTACTTCCATCATTGTTGATGGAGCTATCTGAGATAGCTGGAGCGTGGCAGACTAGTAATGTTCATAGGAGGTGAAGATGTAAGGTAAAATGAAAACCTAGATCTCCGGATTACCGGTAGGCCAATCTATCAAGACATATCTACTTATCTTTCCTTCAATTATGAAGAGTTTCACCTGGCTTTCATGCTTTTCCAGGATGCGTTATTATCCGCTTAAGTGATCACACTGTCTGCCAAATCAGGATTTCTCATTCAAATCAAAATCGAGCTGGATTGTAGAGGAACAGTGTCAAACTGACTGTTGATGGAACTATCTGAGATAGCGACTATTGCATATTTGTTGGTTTTTGGTCTGGTTAGAGCAGAGGAAATTCAAACAAATACACATAACATAATGACTAATCAAAGTGCAGTGTAGTCCAATAATAAAAAGGAATTATTGTAGGTGGACATGTGGAATCGATTATACCCAAATTTTAACACCCTTTTTAGAATTAGTTTACGAATAACCATAGAAGCAGAAAGATACACTGAAATAATAAAACTGGAAGAAAAGCTGCTGAGTAGTGAAAAATATCTAAAGTAACTACGAAACAGAAATTTGAATTTTCTGACTTACTGGATTTAACAAGATTTTAAAATCTACATAAAGAAATGAAACACGTAAGACCAACTGTAGTACTCAAAAACGATCCCCTTAAATTTATTCAAAAACTCATAAGACTTCATCAAGAAAAGAAGTAATGGTGCGAGTAATGATAATAACTCGATTAGGAAGGAATTTAAGGCCTCCAATAATGATGGCATACAAGGAAGGGGTATCAGAAATCCAGTGTAGGGTTCTCAAAAAGACTGGTGAAACGAAACGCACTCAGCCACTTGTGTGCCATCCATGCAGCAATCAACGAGCCACACTGATTACGAGGGCTAATGATATTACCTGGCTGTCCAGACGCCGGTAGGTGGATGGGGGCTAGAACCTATGTCCCAGTGGTTGAAAGTCATCACCCTAAACCACTGAGCCACAGCTCCACTAGGATTAGGGTAGCACTCAAACCTACGTATTCAATTAACGATAAACGTTGTCGGTGTAGGGTCCTATTGGCTCAAACAGGCACGATAATTCAACTTAACAAATACTTTTTAATGATCGTGAGGTCAAATAAATGTGCCAAACTAACCAATCGAGGTCAATAGACCATAAGAACTTAGTCTATAATGCTAGACGCTAATAGGATGAGTAAATCATAAAAGAATTCAGTCATTGCCATGGATACACTGAAGTGGAACGATGTAACACTCCTAGAGACTGGAAATTAGTTGCAAGTAGAGGTTGATCACTGAATTGAATTAATATTTCGCTCATTCAAAAGGAAAATTCAACGCTAACTCTGCGCATACAGAAAATCCCACTACTAATCAAATTAAAGAATTAAAAGCAGATGAACTATACAAGATATGTAGTGGAGAATATTTGTAGTTCTGGTGGGATGGTCTTGTTTGTACTGTGTTCTCTGAGCTGGGTTGTTTAATATCATTTACAAAATCAACTGCAATAACTGTAGTCAACACTATATTGGACAAAGTGGTCGCCCTCTTCACCTTCGTCTACATGAACACGACATTTCATCACTCATTTCAATGCATGTGGATAATTGTGGACATGAATTCAATTTCGACAATGAAGAAATTTTGGACAGAGGAAACACAAAAAATATCAGAGAATTCCTAGAAGCTTGGCATTCAGGCCAGTCAGCAATCAACAGATGTATAGTCATAGACCCAACCTATCAACCAATAAGAAAGCTGACAAACGACAGAAAGGTCAGAGGTCAAGCAGAGGGACATCCAACAGGAAAATCTATACAGTCAACGACACAACAAACAAAGGAAACAACCAATCACAGACCACTTCGTCAAGGCAAGCTACTAAATCACTCACGGGGAGATACTGACAACTCAGTTCATACTGAAGTTAGTGCTAATGATGTCATCTAGAAGGACGATGAAAGCTTCACTACTAAACAATCCAGCTCAAAGAACACAATACATCCATACAAGCTATGTGATTACCTTGATACGATTATGAGCAATAAATTTTGCTTGTAACATTATTCAGTAGATAACACGGCATTACTGTATGCTTTTTTAGATAAACTAATCTGATGTCAAATTACACTCCACCACAATGCCATGTTTTATACCTACAATTATCTTGACCACACAAGAAAACATGGCATAGCTAGTAACTCAATACTATGGCGGGCGAGATAACTCCTTTAGTCAAGTAAGTCCAACTACTTCGAAGAGTTAATTCATCAAAATAACTATGTATCAATGAGTACAGTAGTTGTCAACTTTGTGAGATAATTTGAACGCATACAATATGGCTGGTGACAACTCGATATTTTCAACCGATGAGTTTACGCTTATCAGGTAGAAACATAGCGCCATATTTCATGCTTCACTTAATATTAGATTACGTTGATATTTCAAGTAGAAAAAGCGAAACTCAGTTGCCGTTTGCATGCTTATGTACACGGTTATCAACTAAATCTATTTTGGAACTAGAACATCCAACGTAATGGTTGAAAGTCAATAACACAAACCAGTAAAAAACTACTGAAACGTGAATTCAAAGGTTCTCCATAATTCGCATTTCTATTGAATCTCTAACATTTCTACATTCTGATTCGACCACTTATAAGTAGTTCAAAAGTTATAGTAGCAACAAGCTGAGAAGAGTGCACACAGATGTTCAGTTTTGTCAATTGGTAAAATTCATTGGTTTAAAAAGGTTATCCCAGTGTCAGTGTTCTTAAAAGCACGTTTACAAGATCAACTTAACACTACCATTTTATTAAATGCGTCTTCTTTGGGTGAGAGAGAGTGTTTCATACGGAATTCAATCACATCTCAATGATAACAATATCAGTTTACTGGTACACTGATTTATTGTAACATGAAATCTGAAGAGAATTTTCCAAAGGCTAACAGATGATTAGCAACAACATCACTCACCATACGTTCAGCAGCTAATTGCCATTTATTTTCCACTAAAAGAATGACATCTGAAAGTTGACGATTAATGTCTACTCGAAGCCGTAAACGAGGGTTTTGCTCTGCTTCAACCACTCTCCATGCATCTGTTTGAGTTCGTGGGACTAATTCAATCCATACGTCTTCAGGGAGCAGAAATTCATGTGTTGGCGCTTAAAATGTCATAGAAAAATAAAACTTCTTTTAAACATATTAGTTGATCTATTTGAAAACGCAATAAATTATTGGAGAATTATTCAACCCGTATGAACAACTACAAACGACTGATTTTAGGTTTGACTAAAACCAATATCAACAATATTTCCAAAGAAACATTTCCTTGCCTCAGAACTCATAAAATGCTCTACAAACTAGGTCACTGCAAACGATAAATTAAGTGGTCATCTCACCATAACATGGCAGCCTGAGATGATCCAAACAATGCACCACTGTATTTGAAGCTTTCTGTATCCAGCCAGTTGATTAACCCGAAATGAAGGAAACATTAATCCAATGACTGTATCATTTCAATCCGAATGAAGGAACTGAGCAGTCAGCATGTTGAATGTTGAACACTAGCTATCGGGTATTCTGATTACTGGTAAGGTGAATTTCGAAGATTCACTACTTTGGTCAGGTAAGGTCAATTTATTAATCATACTCGGGTTTCGTGTGTGTCTCAGAGACACAGCATACATCCATGGCTAGAGATTTCAAAGTTCTGGCGAAGGATGAATGCTGTTTGGTTTGGTATAAAGTTTGGACGTTGAAAGCTCCTATATGAAATCGATAGTGAGGTCTTAAGAGACTAGGAATGAGGTTTCAACGGCTTAGATCGTTGGCAATAGTAGTAGAATGAGAGGTTTGGGAGGATGTAAGGGCCCTAATATTAGTATCAGGAGGTGAAGGCAAAGCAGGATAGATTGTTTGATTGGGTCTTGTGAACTACTGGAAGCCTGTGGGCGGTTGACACTTCCCCGCTGTCAGCACTATGGAAGGCTAGTACTTGAGGTATCTGAAAAAGGGATATCTGCTTGACCTCGGTCGTACGCAGCCTTTAGGTAAGTTTTGGATTTTTGCTTCTGAATCAGACTATGAATCCATTTTGTAGGCACAGACATGTCGCGACGGGGTGGTGTGTGCTATTTTGGGGCCGATTTTTTCTAACTTCCTTTTCTCATAGAGAAGACAGCATCAGCGTGGTACTGTTGGACATCTAAGGGAAAAACTTTACTGCTTCGCAACCTTGTTCAGTCAGCAGTACAACTTCGCCCTCAGACCTTTATCACATTGTAGCAATTTACACCATAACAGATCTTTTTGGTATGGTGGGACCTGTGGGGAACAAGCGTCCTATCAGCATAGCTCGTTGGGTCATTGTGATAAACATCACGTTAAGATAGCAGCTACCGATCAGTATTTCTCAACCGCTGATTCCTGTCGTCTCGGGGACCCCAGCCAGGCAGTCTACACCTGCCTAAACCAATGGACCACAATAGTCCTGTCAACGATGACGAAGGAAACAACTTTATAATTCTGCAAGATGAATTAAAGTTGCTTTTTCAATACACTACGAAAAATTAGTTGAAAACAATCAAATTTCTTAAATGCACTTCAGTATCATTCAGAATAGGAAACTATTAGTTGAGATTTCAATGAATGGATGGTTTACGAACTGCCTAATCAATTTAACGGTGCAGCATTTGCAAGCTATAATGCAGTGAATGTGATACTGAATCAAATGTTCCTTAATGAATCAACTTCACTCAGAGAACTGACAACTGGAAATTGAACAAAATTTCCGAGTTCAGAAACAAAAATGGTGTTTAGCTTTGTCGAAAGTCTAATGTATCAGAAAAATTCGCAACACTTCCCAATACAAAAACATAAAAAGTAGATGATCTTTATGAAGATTGACATACATGCAACAACCTTTCAAAGCCTCCTACTTGCTTTTCTGTCATTCCAAAATGATTCAATAATGATATATTGGAAACCTTATGTTAGTGCGGCAAATGTTGAAGGTAGATACTGGAACATCTACATGCCATGCTTAATATGTTCATTACAAATAAAGCCTACTGTTTCCATTAGAGGAAGGTTAGTAGAAAAAGACGAAACATCACACGACATCATGAACTTATTATCCACTTTCAGATCCTCAATCTTTTCAAAGTAGATAATAAGTTCATGATATCGTGTGATGTTTCATCTCTTCCTACTAAAGTTCCTCTAATGGAAACAGCAGGCTTTATTTGTAATGAACATATTAAGCGCGGCATAGAAATAGGTGCTCCAGTATCTACCTTCAAATAACTACCTTTGAGGTGTACGATGAATGAACATTTCCAGTACAACAATGATCTATACACGCAGTTTGATGGTGAGGCTAAGAGATCACCTTTGGTCTACTCTTAGATATTTTTTAACAAAACTAGAGAATGGTCCTCTGAACGAAATTATTAGCTGGTAAGAATTATATAGTCGTAACATGGATGTTACCTTTATATTTCTCAAAAGTGAGACTGATAAGACTGCTGTTTTTAATAAGTTCAATAGTGTTCATTCGGCAATCAACTTCACAATGGAAGAGGAGAAAATGACAGTATCCCATTTCTTGATGTTCTGCTGGTAAGAAGGTGGAACTTTGAAACGAAGTATATATAGTATATACAGAAAGACAACTTCGACAGGTCAATACATGCACTTCTTTAGTGCCGCATCCCTCCAATACAAAAGGAACCTGCTGAAATGCCTAGCATACCACACCACAGTTATTTGCTCAGATGATGCTATAGATGAAGAGTTTGCTACCATCCGTGATCTGCTTAGTAGGAATGGCTACCCAGCGAAGTTTATAACTAAGCATATGAATGTTACGAAGGTTAAGACAAGAACGTCGACAGTTCCTAAGAAGCAAATCCTCTTGAAGCTGAAATTTAAGAGTAACATTGACAATGAGATCATCATACAAAGCATAAGAAGAGTCATGCAAAAAGCATTCCCAAACTCTAAATTATGGTTCATCTTAAACAACCGCGCGATTCTATGAGCAAGAAATAAAAACAGACAGGCTAATTTTGCCACCTCTATGGGTATTTATCATTTCACCTATTCCTGCGGAGCTAGTTACATCGGGCGTACAGTAAGGTGGGTCTATCGTCGAATTTCTGAGCACCACTCATCATGGTTGTATAAGAGACAAATCAGAACAATGGAGAGCTCCATACATGCACACTTAGTTGACACTGGACATCAAGTGGATACTAGAAAAGCATTTAAAATCATTTATCGCATACCAATTAATTTACCACATGGGCTACGAATTCGCTTACTTCACATTGCAGAGGTGATTGCAATCCGCCTTTACGAACCTAGGCATTGTCACCAAAAGAAATTTGTTCAACCACTTTCACTACCATAGCCATCCACATGATGTAACTATTAGTATTAATTTGCACACCTATTGTTCTGCCAATATTCACTTACGTAATTATTTGTTTACGACTTACCACTGGGGAAAAAACACTCCATTTGCCTTAACAATTATTATGCACTTTGCCTAGGAATAACCTGTTTTGTATTATTACAGTTGCCATTTTCAATCTCGTGTAATCACTCTGTTGATTATTTGCATCTTGATTTCTCAAACTTATCATCTTCATGAGTTGCTTAAAATCTGTTATTAATGTTCATCAATCCCCACCACTTGATTAGTGTTTTGATTGGATTGTAAACCTATATATTAGTGTAGATTCAAAGACGAAGGCTTAATTGAAAAGAAATATATTTCTTCTCTCAATCAGTCTTTTTTCTAGATTGTTACTGTGTGATAACTGAAGGTAAAATGGAGATTTGGACTGCGGCCGGATTCGAGACAGCGATTATCGGGTTCCCGGCTCGATGAACTACCAACTGAGCTACGAGGTAGAGCATTGAACCGGAAACTCGGTAGTCGCTGGTTCGAATTTCCATCTCACCTTCAATCATCACCCATTATCAATACTAGTCTGCCAAACCACGGCTATCTCAGATAGTCAAAATGACAATTTTTCCTAGATGTCTAAATCGGAATTCTCAATTGTACTGAAACCTGTTTATGATGGCGACGATAGATGCTTATTAATAACAGGTATACTAACACTTTGAATAAGCATATTAAGTTAAAATGAGCCGTATATCTATAAATATTAGACATCCACATACCAGAGATATTATTCAATTGTTTCAATGCAGGACAAACAGGAGTACGCAATAGGAAACGGCGCCCGTTGTGTTTGATTACAGTAGTACTGAAAATAAATAGCGAGATAAAGGATAGAAAAAGCAAGAAAGATTACAGGAAAGTATTCAAATATGCCAAGACGTTCTGAGAATTTAATGTGCTACATAGAAATTATTTCAGGTTGAAATAAATTTATGTTCATGTTGCACAAGATGGAGGCCACGTGATACATCACAATATTGCGTGCATTATACAGATACCGTTGAAGTACCCTCGCAAATAACTAGTTACAACGGCGTATCAGGTAAAACAAAAACACAATGGGACGGACTAGATGGAATGCTTGAGTGACATCCATACCTAGCCATAGCACAAGTTAGTAGTTCCATGCTTCAAAATTTGAACAGAACATTTTGGTTGGATATTGTGAACTGTTCTTTACACTTCCTTGGCTAAACCAGTGTTAACCTTCGAGATGGGCATATGAACAAAATGTAGTGCAAGCAGCATCATTATCGAGCTACTCAGGTTGAATAGCCGGATAGTAACGTCTATTATTGTGGCAGTAAGTGATTCGGATTCAAATCTAAAAAACGGAATTTAAGTTACTTCTAGATACCTCTTAATTCTACCTCATATTTATAACAATAGTTATGTAAAATAGAAAGAACCACAACTGGCTCTGGACTTCATGTCACCACAATGCAATAACTTGATATTTCACTACAATAGTTTCGGTAAATGAGACCTGTTATCTGAATTGAGACGGCTTTCACACTGAAAGTTTAGGCATGAAGCAGGGTGACGTGGAATAGCTCTGATGTCCTTACTACTCAGATATTCCAAGGGGAATTAAATTCTTGACTTCTGTACACACAGTAACTAATCTGTCAGTATCCTCTTGATTACGCTATGGATCTGCAACAATGTTTGACAATCACTTGAGCCACTGTATTTACAAGTTGTTCTGAAACTCCAAGGACACGTATCCAACGTGCAGAACATTGTTATTAACAGTAGGCACTAGTTGTCATTAGCTGTCTGCATAAAAATGGTCCTACTTTGTCCAATGACCATAAGTCACTAATTTTTTCAGTGGGATTAACTGTAATGACGATAACATGCCCCGATCAACTTTCATCGACTGACACTGTTGATAGGCAAGCACATGCTACACAGTATCAAGTCTCGTGCTTGAAAACTAAAAACTTGTCAAAAGAGAGCGGTCGTTCTTGGGACAATTACACAGACTAGCTAGCGTAATTCAAAGTAAATCTCATAGTGCAGTTACTTCGACATTATCGTTATTCTGTTCGCATCACTCTCTAACAAAATCAGGACTTCGTTCCCAATCAGTTTCAGTCAATTCTTCTGCCCAAGTAACTATATTGATTCGTCTTCGACAGGTTTCTTGATTTGTCCCTACAGTTTTCATTTGCATTTCTTCCTCCAGGGTAGGGATCAGACATCTGGTAAGGAACAAATCTTAGTGGGCTATGCTTCAGTAAATTGACTCCATACACAAACCCCTGCAGTCCAACTTCCCAAACCCACCCAAAACAGGTAATCAGTTGTTACATTTTATTCCTTCTAAATGGGTCGAATCATGAAATAACAGTAGTGATGACGCAACTTATCCACCAGGTAGAGGTTTGTGTACTAGGACATGAGGCAAACTTATTGTGTGTGAGCTTATGATTCTACTCGATCGTGCAACTTGAAGTAGGTGGAGCGGGATTTGAATCCAAGATACATCGCTTGAAAATGGAGTGGTTAAGCTAAGGACCAACAGCCCCTGGTAAGACTGCCACTTGTGCCTGTTTCCAGTGCATAAACTCGAGTGTTTTACAACCAATCCACTGATATCCAAGGTTTACTTCTGGGTTACTGTTGTTGCTACTTCTAATTCCAATCCTTTGTTGTTCTCATCAATCGTTAACGAGGCATCCCTCCTGGTCACTTTTCTGTTTCTCGTGTCAACAGTTGCCCGTACCTCTTGCAGGAAATCTGCTCCCAACATTGTTAGCAGTATACCTATGATTTCAAAGAACAGGTGGTGTATTTTACAGGCAACTCTTTTCCATGATACAATGTGAAACCGGAATATTCGTAACGCAAACCATCTACAGCCTGGACTGTTAACGCAAATTAACTGACGATCCCAAACTGTTGTTTATCGACTAACTAAACTGCTGCTTCTGTGTCAACAAAAAATATCGATTCGAAAATTATTGACGTAATACTCAGGAATCTGAAGAACGTGGATACAAAAAAGGATAAATATTAATAAATTATTTTCATCGACACTGTGACATCCTCTGCATATCCTCCGAACGTTGTTTACTTATATTTCAGCAGTCAAAAATGAACCAACTAATAAATATTTTTTATCTTGACTTCCAACAATAAAACTTCTTGAAATCGGTCGACCAAAGGTTTTTTTCTTACTGTTACCCATTTAGCCAATCAAAATGCAACAGTTAGCACCTCCACTTCAATAACAGTATTAAGTTAGCTGACGGACAGTCGTACGTGCCAATGAAGCTATTATTAGGGAACTGAACAAATTACATTTCCCTTGATACTTGTTACCTCTTTTAATTTGCTCGAGGTACGAAAACAACAGAGTCAGGTGCATGTTACATTCGTAAGCATTCCAACATTCCTGAAGCAAAATTATCTCAACATTTTCAGGAAATCCTTGGAGAATTTTAGATCAAACATTCAGCTAAAACATTGGGATTATTTATGTCACACTATCTGAAATCTATACAAATATCTTATACCTATCAGAGCCCAATATTTTTGAAACTAAAGGGAAATTCACTCAACCACAATTGATTGCACAGTCTAATTTCTCTGAATTATGTAAGTGTATAGTTGAGGCGCAAGAAAATGAGCATACCCAAGACCTTAGAAGATTTGGATTTCACCGATGACTTGTGTCTAATGTCTTGTAGCACAAACTCGAAGATCTACAGGCAAAAACCAGCAAGTTGACAGAAGAGGCAGCGAAGGAAGACTGGACTTTAAGTGAACGTAGAGAAGACAGAGGTGATGAAGATACCCAACCAAAAACAACATCAACAACAAGCACCACTCACCATCAACGGGGGGAACCTAAAGGAAGCAGCCTCTTTCACCTATCTAGGCAGCATCGTTTCAACTACAGGTGGCGCCACAGATGAGGACGTCAAAATAAGAATCGGAAAGACAGCAAGACAGGCCTTCCTGAATTAATGTGAAATCGGTGCGAAGATATACTACACTACACTACACTCAGCACAAAACATGAACAACATCCGGATTTTCTAGACTAAGTCAGTCAAGTCAGTGCTTCTATGTGATGGTTGAGAGACTTGACGCGCTACGAAAAGCATTTCCAACAAACTACAGGTATTCATCAACAACTGCCTACGCTGGCTCGTCACTGAAGCTCAGATGGCCAGAAAGAATAAGCAACAAGGAACTCTGGCCTGACAACGAACCAACCAAGAACCTATCACTGAACAAATATGCAGAAGGAAGTGGAGATGGATTGGATTGGGCATACACTGAAAAGGCAGATTGCGGACATCACGCGCCAGGTCGTCGAGTGGAACCCAAATGGGAAGTGACGAGTTGGGCGTCCGAGGTGAGGGTGACATGGAGGAGATTGTATGAGGAAGAAATGAAAGCTTCTAGGCAGACGTGGAGCCAGGTTGGAAGGACTGGAGAGAACAGAGTGGGATGAAGACGTTCTACAGAAGCCTCATGTTCCACTAGGAACCCAACGGACAAATAATAATAATGACAACAATAATAATAGTTGATGACTGAAGTCGATATAAGTAATGGATTGTGAAGTAAGTGATGCTGACATTTATTTTGGAAAATGAGTACATGTACAGCACAAATACATAGCATTATATCAACTATTATTAAAAGGATCTATTGTTAGGTGGTTGGAAGCAATCAGTCAAAAGCCTTGGATCCAGCTTTTGTGCCTTTAAGCAGTCGTCAGCACGGAATATCTGCAACTCCAAGGGAATTGATATCCTCTCTGAGAGTCGAACCCACATAACCCAGTGCTAGAGTCAGAGACGTTACCACTGAGTTATTTAGGACGCGACTGACCTCTTTCAGGACTGGATTAGATCCACTGGTTGGTTACTAGAGGGTAACCAACTTCCTGTTGTCTAGTCTAGAGCTGATGGAACTTTATCGATCATTTTCTAATATGGCTGCCAGATTAGGATACTCAGCATAACGATGCATTTACTGTCAAAAACTTTATACTAGTTTCGCAATACAGTGTTAAACTCAAACATCCCATGATTGTGACTGAAAATCAGTAATGAATTTCTAACCTTAACACTGACAGTATACAAAAAAACCAAACAATTACCACTGAGAGATATCGGTTAATTCTATACTTAATTTTAGCCCAGTGTGTTCTAATCTATTTAAACTACTTCTCAATAAGAATAGAAGACAAGTTACTCAGCTATTGATGCATACATTCAGATAGCAAAGGTAGAAATCCACTTTTCAGAAAGAAAAAAAAGAACGGGCGCCTTACAGTGAATTTATTTACATAGGCTGATACCACATTCTATGGTTAAATTCTACCACATAGGTAATCAACGGTTTTCAATCCTAAGACGTAAGTGAATAACAAATCCATGGTCAGAAATACCATAGTCGCCCAACAAATTTATTCAGTCAATTTAAAACCATTTAATTTACACAGATTTTAAACAAAAAGGTTCAAATAAGCATGATAACTTATTCGTATATTTTTTCCCAGAATTGCCCTTTAAATCATCAACATATATAACATATAAGTAATGGAAAATTACCAGTAACAATGGATACTCTATGTAAATCAACTTTTCCTACTCTCAACTTGAAAACTCTCTTTTTTTCAAAATCCGCTCATAGTTTTGATTAAGATATACATGTTTGCAAAATAAATAAAATATTGTAGTCATCTAACTATCAGCCTAATTTAAGTGACAGATAATGTTTATTTATTGTCTAACACTCATTAAAAATAAAAAATGAGACTAGCATAGGTGGATATTAAAAGTATATATGAAAGATAAGTAAACTAGTTCATGAGTCGTTGGTGTCTTTGTTAGAATAAATAGCACTCTATTTTTTTGGAAAAAATTAACTTCTAAGTTTGCACTAAAAGTATTTGAAATTTTAGTTAAAATGACATATCATATATGTAACTGAGAAAAAACATCGTATCTTTATGAGTAATCAAAATAGTCAAGCTAGACATTAAGACGGATTGTGTAATTAAACCATTACTAAAGCCACCACGTGATTCACTCTGCAACAAATTATACTGGTATTTCCATACCAATTTAACACTTACTAGCCCTGATAAAGACTAATGTCCAGCCGTCACCGGTTATTATAACTACATAAATTATTGCAATAATTTCTTTTTACTACTTTCAAGTAGTCCGATCAGTATTTAATAATTTCATAATCAAATGTTTACATGACTGGTTGATTCCTCTTATTTCACTAAGTAATTCTAAGAAATTAGCAACCTATCAACAAATAACATTCCAAAAGTCGTACCAGACTACTTTTTGATTTTTACCTTCATTAACAGAGAATTAATTAGTAACCAGACTACACATTATGGTATTTGTTGACAAACGAAATCTTGGTTGCAGCAGGCTCATCCTACTGTTTTTCAAGGGTAATCATTTACGAGAGCTACATTACGCTGAACAGGGTACTGATAAAAGCAGTCCATATACCAACAAAGACTAATAAATTTAGTCCCGTATATAGATAATGGAGATGAATAAAAATTTCATACGAAAACTGAGGCCCATTGATTAAGGTGTCGCGAATGTAACTCACTAACCCAGTGAACAGCACTCCGATGCTTGAATTATTAGATCTCGAGTTCGAGTCTCAGTAAGAATATCGACACACACAGACACAAGTAAACCCAACTGATGAGTCACAAATATGACAAATGTTTTCAAGATTCCACTACTGGCCACAGCCGAACATCGTATTCATGAAACTATGATGTTTAAGAAAGGCAATTAGTAACCTACATACAAATCAGTGGACTTCTGGAATCATATCCAAACTAGTACATGTGAGAAGACTCATTCCACCTGATTCTGACTACAATAAGGAACAAAAGCACCTTAAACGTAAAGTGACTAAAAGTATTCGCAATGATTAAGGGCAGTGGCAAAAGAGAAAGAGATGCAGAGGCCATCTGCAGTAAATAATACTCGGTAATTATTTGTGCTTACTAACGATACTGGTAAGAAGACGACAGTCAGTGAAAAAACCACCACCAAAAACGATGGGACTTTCAGACTTGTCAGAACAGGAGGCTAGTACGTTGGGTGTAACACTTCGAAGTGCAATTCAAATGACCCATATACAACACTTCAGCTGCCCAGCATCCAGCACAAAACCGAAAGGGACGTAGTTGTCGGTCTTGCAACTCCTTTTGAAGTGAAGACGGGTTTCCCTAACAGAAGACGACACAACACCAAGACCTCATGGTTTGCCACCAGATGATTTTAAGGACGGAGGTAGGCAATCACTGGGCACAGTAACCGAGGTGCTGCTTAGTGTATGAGAACTAGATGTAGTCACATAGGACTGATCTAGACCGTTACTAATTCTAGCCCCGACAAGAAGACAGATGTCTTCTTGCGACAAACACAAGCGGATCAATTTATTTAACATCGTATCCCAAATCCTTCAGTCCATAGCTATCATGTCTAACTGGAGCTCGAGAAGAAAAAAAACTAGGGGAAACCAGGCACGTCTCATAAATAAATGAAACTGCATCAATGTCCGCCGTTCTCCAGATTTCAAAAACGCGCATACTTTGCCCGCGCCCAATATTTGCCATACTTATTTACCTGAAGGTGGCATACATCTCTCTAGGACAACAAGCATTTTGGCAGTTTTGACTGTTAAAGCACTAACGGAGCTAATACACACTGATAATCAAAACCACCTACTCAAACTCACACCCAAGTAAGGCCTCATAGACAGATGTCATCTACATTGACAACAAGTCCTGCTCACCACAGATCCCTCTGATACCCTTCCCCTTTAACTACATTATATTATAGATACATCAACCTACGTAATACTATGCACATCTGACTTAACAGTCATTGAGCTACTCTCAGGAAGGCACCTACCTGATACGTAGACTTACAGTACACAGACAACATTGTCCCAATACACGAATACGCTCATTAAATCCAGACTACTCTCAACGCTTTCAGCAGAAATCAAAGTATGTTTGCCAAGCATTTTGCACTTGTACATCGCGTGTGATCATACTCCAAGTCTCCTCTACATCAACTACCACTTTAAGGAAAGGATAGGGAGTGAGGTGGTAGACCACCTTGACGTTGGCTTACGTCATCTCCTGCATCAACGAGATATTCAATTACGTGCTAAAAAAATGACTATACTGAGCTGCAGTCAACTCTGTGCTGTTATACACCAGTGAGACATGACCTCTGGAAGTAGTAGACACGAAGAGATTATAGGTTTTCAAATACCAGCCTCTTCGAAGCATTCTTCATGTATGGTGGGATCACCATGTGAGCAATGTCCAGGTTAATTAGAGGGTCCTTGGAAAGTCAAGCCGGTTCGTCGGTGACCTTGTGAACCTTGACCAATTGAAGTGACTTGGATATGGGTCACATACATCTACATCCAATGTTAGCCAAATTTAGACTGGATTGGTAGGAGATTAATGGTGCTCAGTCAGAACCTGGCATAAACTATGAAGTGTTTGACCGTTGGTCCGTGTTGTGACCGAGTGGTGGGGTTGCGCGCGTGGGTATAATGAATACTCGGACTCAATAGATACCTCAACTGAATACCTTCACGACTGACCTCCCTCAGTACCTTCTGCTTCACTGAGCCGCCGTAAAATCAGAAGACAATAACGGCCTGCGACTGTAAGAACAGTGACAACAACTTTTATTAGACAAATACATGACATATATGTATTTACAAAACTCTCAGAAAGTGAAGCCACAAATGAACCAGTCAGATTTCTTGTACGAGGTCGAATTCCTCCAATCAGGTTCTTATGTCAGTGCATGCATAAATCATGACCTGAACACGATCTGATCACGACTTGAAAACTCCCCTATTGGCTACCTTCTTGTCGCTACGTAACAGTCCGAATAATGTATAGAGAGGTGCAGACTACCTGGCTTTGGCCTCGAGGCGCAAGGAATCAGTGGTGGCTGATCATTGGTGAAATGGTTGAAAATTGTTCACAATGATGAAGATGTAAATACTCTTACTTGGTTTTAAGGTCTTGAACGCTTCACTAACTTTCGTATATTTATTTCGTCTTTTCATACACATTTGTCTACCTGAATACTACTCTTTGTATGCACTTGCATGCTGCTGTGAAGTGTGACAAATTTAAACCCCAGAAACCTGTGTAAAGCTCTAAGTTGGTCTGCTTTTCTGCTTTAGAATAATAAAACATTCAGTCTTTTAAAGGAAGTATACAGAGAACACAGGAAATTTTTCGTATAGTCTTCACAAACACATGTTTGACAAAACTGCTGAAGGCTTAGAAGAAAGGTCGTGGTGTAAAAATAAAAGACACCTGAAAATATGAGCAAAATTGATAAGGTCGGGTGCAGACTCCACACCTGTCTTTAAAAATGACCATTGAAGACTTTATGTTAACTGACCATGTAAAGTAAAAATATTATGATAATATTTATCGAATCTGTTCGGATTCAAGTGAACTACCTGTTATCTTTCAAAAAATAGAAATAAGACAACATACCCACAGTGAACCAACTCGTTCAGTTTCTCACCCAATCGATGATCCAATGCTAAAACAACAAAGACATGAAAAATGGACGTTGAGAAAGCAGTATATATATATATATATATATATATATATATATATATATATATATATATATATATATATATATATATATTAAAATAGTGCAAAGTATACCGGTACAAAATACGCAATATTCTATTAATTAATAATTTAATTTCTAAGTCGCTAAGACCGTATGCTTTATCAAGTCAGTATCTGGAAAAAAAATGGAGTAAAGGCAAGGAAACCACCACAAAACACCAAGGAGTATACATTTACAAGAGCTCAAGAATAATAACTTCTATTTCAGCACACGCAAAAAAGTTTACGACAAAAGGATTAAAATAACTTATGTACAATAAAACGAAAATTTTACAATTACAAACCGTGAATATTACGTAATTAACTTTAACCACTATAAATATAAGTTGAGATGCAAAGGAAGGATTCAATAAACCACCATATATGATGATAGCTACCCCTATCTTGAATTAGGCAGAGGAATTAGAGTATCCACGTTTTTTACTAAACATTTTTACTTATCCCAGTAAACTTTAGTCTACAACATTTTAATAAATGCGAGTTACCATCATAGCTAGAATTAGAACATCGATTCTAAATAAGTCCAGTAACTTGATGGTAAGGACAGTTTAACTAGTCTCATGCGTACAAAAACCATCTTGTAGAATCCTAGCTAACATAAACTAGTAAATGAATTGTGCTATCTAAGCGCATGGAAATAGTGCGACTTTTACTACAAGGATATCGGCTAGAAAGTGTACTTGAGATGTCCATAATATATGATAAATATTTGTGTGCAGACAACTTGAAAACCAAATTTCAAACCAAGTAAGTGAATATAAGTTCAGAAATCGGTTACTATGATGAAGCGTAATAGGATTTCCCCTGTAGATAGCAACAAATGCAATTATTTTATTCGCACTGTTTACTAAAATGTGTCACCTGGAATAAAATAAAACTCAATAAGTTAAGTAACGTATCTGGATAGAATCGATAGAAAATCCTGAGCTTAACTCTTCCTTTCCCTTAAAATTACTGGACAAACATATCTCAAATATCTTAAGTCTGCGATTGAAGTCTTCATTATTTATCGTATCGGTTAAAAATATTGATGACAAATTTTTATTCTTTTCATAACCGTAAAACTGTACATCAATCCGTGGCATTATAATATTATGCTGCTTTGAACTATATTTGGTATCATCTTGACTATCTGAGATAGCCATGGTTTGGCAGACTAGTATTGATACTGGGTGATGGTTGAAGGTGAAATGAAAATTCAGACCGCGACCAGATTCGAACCAGTAACCACTGGGTTTCCGGTCCGATACTCTACCTCGTAGCTCAGTTGGTAGATTATCGGGACGGAAACCCGATGGTCGCTGTTTCGAATCCGGCCGCAGTCCAAATTTTCACTTCACCTTCAATCATCACCCAGTATCTATATATAATGAACGGGTTTGCATTAAAAAAATACACAGTTAATATCAGTTAGAACCAAATCCCCAGTTATCAAAGGAATCTAGTAAATGCTTTCATATTATTCTTGGCAATAAAAAGCATATGAACGATACTTTCAGTGCTTACGTTTCTTGATACGTGTACGCAGTACAGAATAGTTGACAATTGCGTAAACCTCCCTAACGTGTTGCGGAACGTCTTCGCGGAATTTGACATAACGACGTATTTTGTGCCATGTTTGTTGATAGAAGAAACGAACTTGTTCACGTGTTCGACCTCCGCAAGGTGTATTTAAATCGGAATTGCTTGAAAAAGGTGTGTTCAACACACTGGTGGACTGAGAACTGCTTGGACATGGGACACCTACACTATTTGAACCAAGGGTAGGTATCAAAGTGTGTGAAGAAACAAAATTACTTCCAGAATGTAAACTGTTTACATTAGATTCAACATTACTACTTGATAATCCAGATTGGTGATCGACTGGTGTACAATGTCCACGGGACCGAATGAAACGTGTTATTTCATTGAAGTTGCGTCCATACTGAGAATGAAGAGAGAAAAAAGCACGATATAAGCATGGCTTTTCATCTCTTATTGCTTACATACTCAAAAAATGTTAAAAGACTGGAAAGAATTATGATTACTTGACGCTCATAACAAAATGGTTGTTATTTACCAATCGAAAAAAAGTAGTAAGTTGAAAGAAGTCAAATTTATTGAGCAAAAGACTTACCATCCTTATTGCTTGAAAGAAAAGACGCCGATCATCTGGTGACCACGTTCCTCGTAACAATTTAGGAGCATTTTCTAATAATGAGACATTAGTATTTCAATATATCACAAACCAGAACGGCTCTTATGAGTTTTGTCTTCTATTGGAACTCTCACTTCTTCGCAAACTACTTGTCCACTTGTCGTAGGTACATTGTAAAAGTTATTCATGTTGCAACCGATCTCAGAAGGTTCGTAGATTCCACTGGATATCAAATGATTTTGTGTGCTCCCTAATGAGTGTACACTTGTAGGGGAAAGTATGCGAGCGTGATGTCGGGCTTTCACGATCGCTGCAATATTTGGGGCTTCCATTTCTATATTACACGACTTCATATCCTCATAAAACTATCATTATCTAGAATCCTAGACGGCTAATAGTAATCAGATATCGTGTAGTAGTTAATCCTGTCATCGGAAACAACAAAATTTAATAAAAATTAAACACACACAAAAACAGACAATGAATAAAAGAGAACTTTCATATCATATGAAAACCCTGCAATGCGATGAGGACAGACAGTTAATTATAATGTACATAGAAACTTGTATGGTTATACACATGTAATAATGATGAAGAAGCCACGGGTTATTCGTTTAGGCAACTGACTTTCAATCCATGGATCGTGAGTTCTGATACCGCCCCATCTACCGAGGTATGAGCCGAAAGGTACTACTGTTCCCCCTCACACGATAAGTGTGGTTCATTTAAAACTGCGCTAACGTGCATGTGGCTGCTGAGAACATTTCAATTTCGGCGATGCGGTAGGGACGAAAATTTAGATGCGAAAAGAAAAGAAAATATGCAACAGATAAAAATTTCTGGCAACTTAAAATTATCTTTACATATGATTCCATTTTCGGCTACAACAATAAAGAAATTAGGGATTAATCAACAAACTAATATGTCTACACTAAATATGTATGGGTTTTGCACCACGAGAACACAAATACTTAGCCACCAATCCTATTCCGCAGGTAATTTTCTCCTGGACAAACAGCTGCCGTGTACGTCAATCAATCAATCATTAACAACATAGGACCAGGCTTTACTGCGTAACGGTCCAAGTTGCCACACCTCATATCAGCACATCAAGTAAAAAGGTAGTGAGGTGAAGGATGAATATAAGTGAATGCAGTCAAAAGAAATATAAAGTACGAGAAGAAAAGAAAGAGGAGTCACAAAATGGTGAGATTCGGTATAGCGTTGTTAAGATGAGGATAATGTGTGTACACATCTGTGCCACTGACATCGGTTCTGAGCCATGCCATCACTTAAAGTCTCCAACCACTGGTTCCTCTTGTCCCGCAGACCCCAACCAACTAGTCTGCATCGTCCTACATGGCTGAAACCAACAGTCAAAAACTTCATACATTGGTGCCACATTTTAGTCTGGCCACCTCAAGCCTTTTTCCAGCCTGGACCCACCTCAGCCAACATTGTATGACAAGGCAATCGGTGACTAGGCATATATAGTACGTGTCCCAACCATCTCAGTCGATGAAGGTTCACAACCTCGTCAACTGACTTACCTCTTCTCCCGAAAACTCTACACCTGACTTCTGCATTACTCACATGGTGACACCACGGAATACGTCCTATACTACGAAAGCAACGGTGGTCAAACACCTGAAGCCTTTTTGTATCCTCCACTTTCAATGGCCATGTTTCACGGCCATACAGTAGAACAGAGCGGACTGCTGTGCAGTACACGCGACCCTTAATAGACAAACGAATATCACAGCGGCGCCATAGGTGGAGCAAATTGGCAAAAGCCAATCGAGCCTTTTGTATCCGTGCAGAGATCTCATCGGCAACTAACCCACCAGGGTTGATCCTACTTCCCAGGTAAGTGAAGTGGTCAACACACTCAACCACTTCACTCTCTATTGTTAACCGCGGTACCGCTGAAGACCAGTCCTGGAGCAAAAATTTGCATTTGGGTGGTGAGAAACGCATCCCAAACATTCTCAAATTCCCACTCAAAGTGTTCAGAAGACTCTGCATCTTGTCAGCGTCTTCACCTAACAGGACTATGTCATGTCATCTGCATATTCTAGATCTATAGAAAATTCACCTGTGATTGGGTCAACGTCTGTGTAATGAGGTGACGAGAAGGAAACCTCCATAAGAACATCTATGATAAAATTAAATAAGAATGGAGATAGTGGGAATCCTTGACGGACACCACTTGATGAGTATAGCTCCTTGGACAACTCGCCATAGGCTCTAACATGCCTACAAGTGTTCGAGTAGAGAGCCTTCAGTAAGGTGATGTACTTACTCGGTACGCCTTCCAGTGAGAGACATTCCCATAAGACTTCTCGATCAACGGAGTCTAACGCCGTCTTCAGGTCAGGAAATACAGCTATTGTCGGGCGTCTGTAAGCATGCCTATGTTCCAGGACCTGGAGCAATGTGAATATTTGGTCGATACACCCGCGGCCAGGTCTAAAGCCTGCCTGGTTTTCTCGGGCTTGCTGTTCCCGAGCTCCACTCAGGCGTCGGAGAATTATAGAACTTGGGATCTTAGACACTATGTTCGTAAGGCTGATTCCACTGTGGTTATCACAAGAGGATTTCTCGTCTTTCTTGAAGACTGGGATGATGAGTGACTTAGACCAGTCAGAGGGGATCGTATTTGATTCCCATATACTGGCTAACACTTCCGTTAACCTGACTAAGAGCGGTGTACGTAATTCTTTTGTTTAACATGTTAATGTTAATAAAACCCATGTCACAAGAAGAGGAGAAGGACTAAGACCTACTTGAGCTGCAACAAAAGAAAAATATCAGTACGATTTACAGATGCAACTTTACTAGATAAAAGCTTTCAGTATTATGACTTTAAACGTGCAGAGCACTCGAACTAGATGAGTCTCTAGTTCAAAGAAGTATTAGGTGACAAAATAGATTGTCTCAAAGCGGTTGTGCCACAGCTTTGAAGATGACTAATGGATCACAAATACTTCATAAGAAATATTTAATCAAAAGAGTGGGCACATAGCAGGCAGCAATATCAGCAATACATTTATTCACTATTGAATAAATATTTCACGAAAATGTCCACATATTCCTATGGACAGTAAAGATGTAAACGCATTGAAAACATCTTCGGATTAGGTAAGTTACATACAAACCAGACTGACCACTAGAGAAAGACTGACTGACTGACTGACAAAAGCAACATAGAAGCCCGCGAAAAAGTGCATCTACTCAATTTGTCGCACTTCACAGTAGTACACAAAGAACAGATGGATAGAAAACGAGTGATATCAAAGTAGATAAAATAGTGTAAGAGAACAGACAATTTTAACGTAAGTGTTAGTGCCAATATTCACGCTTTGGAAGATGTCAAGGGGTAAATAAATCTGCGCCATTGTGACCGATTCTCAACCATGTCACTAAGAGTCCTCAACCATTCATTACTTTGATCCCAGGGGACCCCAGCCAAGCAGTCTACATCTTTCCACACGACTCAGTCCGACAGTAAGAGACTTGATCGACTGGCGCCACGTCTTGGTTTGGTTACCCTGAACTCTCTTCTAACCTAATTCAACTTGCCCTAGTATGACAAATCGATGTAGGCAGTCGCTCCAGATGAGCAGTACATGTCCAAGCCATCTCAGTCAACTTGCCTAGTACCCTTCGCCTGACCTTGACACTGCTCACACGGTGATTCTACCACCACACGTGAGCAATGCTACGGATACACCTATGATCAAAACCCTGCATCCGCTTCATATCGTCTACTTTTAAACTAAAGATCAGCTGATAGCTGCTACCTTGAGGTATTGGTTGGGTTTGCACATCACAATGACCCAACGAGCTATGTTGGTGAAGCGATTGTTCCCTCGAGGTCCCGCCATATCACAAAGGTCTGTTGGATGGTGGTAAGACGTAAAGCAGTTGCCTTTACTGTCTTAGTGAAAACTACTACACTATGATGGGGGTCTGAAATCGAAGTCCTACTACCGCTAGCTGAATGGGGTGTGACAGCAGTAAGGTGTTTCCCTTGGATGACCAGCAGTACTATGCTGATGCTGCCTACTCAACGGAAGGAGGGTTAGAAAAGGTCAGCCACAAAAACAGCACACTCCACCATGCCCCACGGTCTCCCGGTGCAGGTGGCATGGGTTTTTTGTCTATCCGGCGTTAAAACAACTAAGTCACAAAGCAATCCACGAAAGGCTATGTGTGACAGACTTCAAGCAGATGTTCCATGAGCTCTGCAGCCACACAAATCCTTTTCTCTTTCAGATACCTTAAGAATAGATAGCCATATACGGTGTGGGGCAGTTAGGTGTCGACCGCCTGCACGCTTCCAGCAGTACACTAGAGAAAGCAGTTACGCCCACCAAAAACTAAGACTACTTCAACGTTGATTTCTTGAAGCTCCCTGTCACTCAACACATACCAATGAAATGAAGTTAGAGTTCGGGAGAAACTTCCAGAACCGAAGACTAATAAGGCAATTGGACCACATGTTTTTAATTAGCTACAATGAAAGATGATGTGCACCTGTCATCAGAGTAATGACAAAAGTAATTTACATCACAATCTGGAGTGAACCGGGGTGCTTATTCACCATAAACATCGAACCTGCCATTTCTGCGTAACGATTCAGGTAGCGAAATCTCATATAAGCGCATCAAGGTAGTAGGCACGGGAAATAGAGAAATAAAGTTGAGGAGCGCCACGAAGAAAGGGGATAACAAGAACCAACAAAATCCAATGTGTTGATTAAAATGAGGATATGTCGATGCACCTGCGATATTGACGTCGATTCTGAGCCCCAACCACCAACTTCTGTTTTCCTGTGGACACCGACTGGGTAGTATATATTCTCATATACGACCCAGGCCAACAGTTTAACACTTCATGAACCGATTCCACGATTTAGTCCACACATCTCTTGCCCTTTTCCAACCTAAACTTCAGTCAACATTGTGCGATGAAACAGATGCTGACCATCCATGGTTATTACATGAGACATCAAGCTGTTTACAACCTCATTAACTGCACCGTCTGCCCTAAGATAAACAGTACATTTGGGTTCCGCCTTACTTACGTTCCACGACAAAGTTTGTGCTATGAAGGCAATGGTAGTCGAACACCCGAAACCTTCTCGATTTATCTACCATTAATGGCTATGTTCCACAACCTCATCGAAAGACAAAGTGAACTGCAGCGTAGTACACTCTACCTTTAACAGGCCGCTGGACATCACGGCGGTGCCACAAATGATGTCAGTTGGTAAAGCTCAAATAAGCCTTCTGCATCTGTGCAGAGATACAGTCACTCACTGACTCACTAGGGTTGATTCAACTTCTCAAGCAAGTGAAATGGTCAACGCGCCTTAGTTTCAAATTGTCACTCAAAGTGTGCTGAAGACTGCATCTTTTCA